CCGCCAGCACCTGCAGCTCTTGCCGGCACAGCTTCAGGTGGTTCACACGGTCCCGGATGACTCTGGGGTCACAGGGACGGTAGCCTGGCCAGGGAGCAGGGCAGTTGCCCGTCAGCAGGTCATCCCGGCTTCCCCCAGCCTTGCTGCGGTCCCGGGGCATCCTGGCGCACCTACCCTCGGTGTCGGCGAAGCGGAGGGCGGCAGCGCTGATGGCCCGTGTCTTCTCTGCCTGCAGGGCCACCTCCAGCAGCCGGTGGGTTTGCAGCAGCTCCTCCGCCTCCAGAAGGTGCTTCCCAGATTCAGGCGATGTCAGCCGCACCTGAGGGAGATCCCCAGCTGTCACCCGCAGCCAGCTGCAGCACACAGCACCCACTGGTACCCAAAAGCCACTGCCAGCACCCCAGCACCTCATCTGCCTCCCATGGTCACCCGTGGCTCACCTTGACCTCATCCATCCAGTCGATGCTATGGAGCATCTCCTGGAAGAGGTGCTGCAGGGCGAGGTTCATCTCCAAGCGCTGGCGCCGGGCAGCCAACAGCTCCTGGAGCTGTTCCCACAGCCGGAGGATGTTATCCTTGCGCGCGTTGATGCGCTGGGTGGCGTGGAAGCCCTCCCCCTCCAGCTCCTTCGCCACTGCCTCGATGGACTGCAGGCGCCCGTGTCCGTCTCGATGGCCTCGTGCTTCTTCTTAGCCGCCTCCACTGCCGGCAAGTCCTGGCCGAAGTTATCCTGGAGCGGCACAGAGCCCATGGTGAGGCTCCAAGAGAGCATCCTGGAGCCGGGGGTGGGTGTCCCCGGCCTTACCTGGGCCACCAGCCGCTGGTTCTCGCTCAGCCAGGCTGCCCGCATGGCTGCCTTGCGGTCAAAACGCCGTGCCAGCTGCTCCAGCTTCTCCTGACGGATGAGCTCGTTGCGCAGTGCCAGCTCCCGCTCGTGCTCCGCTTTCTCCAGCTGCTCCCAAGCCTGAGGGAAGGAGGTAACGGATGGGGGGCAACACCCACATCCCATCTCTCCCCTGTGTCTCATTCTGCTGGTGAACCCCAACAAGACTGTGAGTAGGGGAGCATGGCTGGAGGAACCCAACCTGACCTGGGATGGACCTGACCTGCTCCAGGATAGACTCAGTGTATCCCGGGATGGACCTGAACTGCGCTGGGAGCTGGACCCAACCTGCCCCCAAGGAGATAGACCTGACTTGCTCTAGGACCTGAACTGCTCTGGAATAGACCAAATCTGCCCCCAAGGAGATGGATCTGAACTGCCCTGGGATGGACCCAACCCGCCCCCAAGGAGACAGACCCAAATTTCCCTGAGATGGACCTGAATTACCCTGGGAGATGAACCCCAACTACCCTAGGACCAAAACTGCTCTGGGGTGAACCCAACCTGCCCCAGGAGATGGACATGACTTGCTCTAGAACAGACCCAATCTGCCCTGGGATGGACCTGAGCTGCCCCAGGACATCCCAGACCTACCCCGGGACAGCTTGGGGAGCAAATCCCTGGGGATAGTGGGGAAAGATCTGACCCCAGATCACACACAGGTGCAGCCACATGTCCCCAAGGCATGGCACATGGCGCGGCTGCTGGGATGGGCCTCGTACCCGGTTGATGTCGGAGACAAGGCGCCCCTCATGTGGGGTGTAGACACGCTGGTTGTTGGCTCGCATCCGTGACTGGATGGTGAAGAGCAGCACCTCCAGGTTACCCTTCTCCTGAAACCTGCCCCAGAGAAAGCTCAGCTCGGGTCACCCACGGGTGCTCAACAGCACCGTGTGGGCATGGGGGGCTCGGGGGTGCTCACTTGGGGGGCTTCTCCACGGTGCGGTAGGTGCTGAAGGCTTGCAGCTGGTGCTGCACTCCAGCCAGCGCGAGTTGGCAAAGCTGCGGCTGTTGAGGGAAGCGATGGTCTGCTCGATCCAGGTGAGCAGGTCGGAGGCCAGCCCCCCGTAGCCCTCGATCATCCGCTCCGTCTCCTTGGCGTGCTCAATGACCTGCGGTGGGGCCAGTGGGGACGCCAGTGCGCACGG